AATTTTAGATAATTGTACATTGATGCTGTGTTTGCTTCCTTTCAGGAACAATTTCACCTCCTCAGCGGCACTGTGTTTCACAACATATTTGGACAGAGACATTGCAGCAAACACATAAATCCTCTAGCTGTAATAATAGACACGCTCCCATTCAATGGGATCATGTCTATTATACTAAAGCTAGATTAGCCAAATGTATGATGGAACAACTGCAACTTGTGATAGATGTCAACGGTCTATTGGGAACATTATACATATCCTTTGGAACTGCCCATCATTATATAGTTATTGGACAGAGATTTTTACCATTTTTACCAGAAATAGGTGAAAGAGCTGAACCCAATGCACTTACAGCACACACAGCTTGATTTAATAGCATAAGGGGACATTTCATTGACTTGCATTCATTTTATATGGCCTAACCCAGACCCTTACCCTTACCCTAACCCTAACTATTACCAAGATGTACCTAATCCTAACCTAAACTGAATTCACACCTTAGCCCTAAACCTAACCCCAACTCAAAGAACAGAACTTTACCATATAGAGACCAGTTGAATGTCCCCATATGTACCTGTAAGTCCTCGCATGTAGGATATTTTTCAAAATACTTCCCTCACATTGTAGGTAAAACAAGGCCACACACGCACACACACATTATTTGACTTTTGATAATTCTAACAAAGACGTTCTTGCCTTTGCCACCCTTTTGGCGAGATGATTGATCGTTTCGACCTGAAAATTATCTTTACCACCTTGACAGACATGTTGGATTAGAGACATCCTCTATTTTCTCAACCTAGAAAAAAATTAGACTTCCAATGACTAGTAGATGTGGGATGTTGAAGAATCTATGGGGACCATTCCTTGAGTTTGTTAATAAGCCTGATATCTCACTTATGCAAGACCCCAATATTTAAAATGGACATACTGCCACATATAAAACTGTTAATTTGCCAAATAGGTGGTTCTCCCTCTCTCTGGAGTTAAGAAGCAGGTAAATCAGCAAATCATCACCTCCTCCGGCAGCTGATGAGAAAGCTGTCGACTCTAACCAATGAAAGAGCTGAGTGGAAAGAGGGAGGTAGAAGGGAGAGGCAACTGAAAAAGATATGATGAGCATGGTGAGGAAAAAAGGATTGACATTGTCTAAATATGATCAGGAAAGATATTTATAAATTAAAGTTTTTAAATCAAAATTTAGAAATAGGATTTGAAACATATTTTGAAATTTTAGCATTTAAGAATTGATTGATAAATATAGTTTACAATTCCTCTTAAAATGTCTCTTTTTAAAAAAGTTTTTTTTAACTGATTCCTAACTGTGCTATCTAAATGTTAAAATACAAAACAAAAACAAAACTGACTCGTATCCAGCAACCTTTATCCTGATACAACTTGTCCTCATGGATCACCCAATTTGCAAATTAAGTGCAAATATAAATAATTTTAGAACAGCGTTACTATACAGCTTTACTATAAAAAGCGTTATATCTGGGGGAAAACATACACACTGACACATATTAATGATTGTGAAGCATCGTGGTGGCAGCATTATACTGTGGGAATACTTCAGGGCGACAGGTAAGCTGGCATGTAGAGGGTAGATGGATGGCACCTATACAAGGCAGTCTGTGGTAGTTTCTGCACGAATGAGATGAGCCCATCCTACCTCATGCAGAATGTATTGGGAACACAGAGCTTTAATCTGCTTTTGAGAAAACAAGGTGTTCTATTTTATCTTGTTTTCCCAAATAAGCTTCACAAATGACCTAGCTGATCATTTTACTTTAGCTTATTTTCTCATGTCAAACTGTGTGTTTGAATAAGTGCTGTTCAGTGAATTAATTCAGTGAATTAATTCAGTTCAATGTTTAATGATTTGTTATATTATTCCAAGATTAAATACAGATTAATTAAAAAAGGATTAATAAAATAACCCTTAAATTTTGTAAATTAATACCAACATCATTCACAAACAGCTCATTTTTCCTTAATATTCCCAGTTCCTACTTACAAGGCGTCACAGAAAGGGAAAGAAGTTTTCTTAGTGCTTGCGTCGTCCCCTGGGCAGATTTACATCCTGGGTGGTTTGCCATATTGATCATAATAAGAGAATTCTGATAAAAGTGATTTGACAACAATGGGCTACATTTCAAACAGCAACTGCCACCACTGATGGTGGTCAGAGGAAAGTTACAGCCGCTGGCGCTAGCATTGCCATTGACATTGTGAATCTTCAAAGTAGGACTCAACTCAAACGTTTTTACTGCATTTTGCCTAAAATCTATTTATTTATGTTGCACTGCTCTGAACCTTATATATCAATACTTTTTTGCACCATGTCTCTCCCACACTGTTTACATTTTGATCACTGCGGCACATTATTATTCTTTTTCACTGCTAAGCTGCTTCTGATAAAAAAAAAGGGTTGTATAAACTGTATAGCTGTATAAACAAAATATTGTTTTGTGTACACTCTGTGAATACAAAATAACAATTAAGTTTGTCTAAGTTGAAGTTTACATTAGCAGAGCGTGAATACATCTATAGTATACTAGTCTTGGATCATGTAGCCATATTCTAACCATCTGTCAACGTTACACATAAGTCAACTGAATATGATTGAAACAGGCTCTACATTCATAAAACAAAGAAACTCGCATTTCGATTTACGCAATGATAATATGGAGTACAACCTCTCAGTCAGTAAACTTTTTTCCATAATGGTTGTGTATTTTGTGAAATTTTGTTATATTTTGTGAGATCTCATAGATCTGCTGGTATTTTCAATGTGCCACCAAGCACTTCCGTGTAACTGCTGGACTCCCTGGAAACTTGATTTCTTGGTCGTGGCAAAACTCTCCTTCTCAAAAGCTCTAATCATACCATAGACTGGCACAGCTAAATGTATTTAGAATAAAATGACAGAATCTGCAGACTTGATGTTTCTCACGACCTTTAAGGTTGAATCCCCATCTTCTCAATCTCTAACAGGAAAACCATCTGAGGTTACTGTAGATTCTGACTTGTGGAGTCAGAGGTCACAGAGATGCCCCACTGCAAAAACAATCCAGAAATAAGTAAAAAATTGCTTAAATTAAGTATATTTAGCCTTAATTTGAGCAGGTAAATAAGATGATTTGCCAATGGAATGAGTATTTTCACTCTTAAAATAAGATAGTTAGATAATATTTACTTGAAATAAGAAGATAAAATTGTTTTTTCTTATTTTAAAAGGAAATTGTCTTGTTCCATTGGCAAAGTGTCTTACTTACCTCCTCAAATCAAGGAAAAACACACTTATTTTAAGAAAAAATAACTTATTGAGATTTCTATTTTTTGCAGTGCAGATTTCAGCATCCCATGTATATTCACATTTCTACTGGGTTCTGACACCAAACCAAAGGCACTAATTACTATACCACTTCTATAAGCAAGCATGTTAATTTAGTGCTTGAATCCTTAAAACTATGAGAAAAAAAATCTTGTTGGTGTGAATTACTAATAAAAGATGGTAGCAGTACATTTCGCAACAAAACAACAATATTTAGGAAAAAAAAAAAAAAAGTCTTTCCAACCTGCTTTTAGAAACACCCAGCTCCAAAGTGACATAGTTCAATTGTCAGGGTCTTGACTCCTCAGGCATTTTATTCCTACTACAGAGCCCCTTTGTTCAGTCCTAGTGGCAGGGGATTGCGTCCTTTTTTCTGTATTTCCAAATTAGCCTCATCTAGTGCAAACAAGAAGAGATGACAGTTGTTATGCTCATATTACTCTTAGGGAGAATTTAATTTAATTATGTAAATTTAGATAATTTAGATTTTGATTTAGATTTCCATGATTATCATTTTAAAGAGACGAGCTCGGCCCTGCTGGAAAATTGGAATATTACATAGAAACAATAAAGAATGGGTCAGTTTATCGATATGTGTGTTCATGTGTGTAAGTATACCCATTAATTGGTCCGGGAACCTTGTACATAAATGATGACATCAGATAAGCAGGGATCAGCTTGTGGCAATGCTAAAGTGTTAATTGTCTGGCAATAACTGCCTTAATTCAACCTTCATTGCTGGATGTGGTTTCTCTCATCTTTCTCTTCGTAGCATGCAGTAATATTTTTCTCTACTTTACAGTCCATGTCCTGGATACATCTGTGTATGGTAATTCTTTAATCAGAAATGACTTGAATATCCATGCTGATCATATTTAAACATTTACAAAGAGTTTGTCCTTAAGGCTACTGTGATTTATGTCATTTGTACACTTTTTTCTTTCTCCGATTTTCAATCCAATCAATTTTCCTTTATTATGCTTTAATAAAGCCTTCTGTGAACTGGCAGCTTCAATTACAACGAGATTTTCTTTGTTTTCTTTTCTTAGCATAAAATGTCTTAATCAAGAAATTGTTAATTGTAGTTAATTGATCTAATTGAACACATCATCCACACCCCCCTTGTGATACTACAACTGTTATTATATCAATTAACGCTTTTTCATATTTTGGGGGAATTTGTATTGGGGGATATATTCAGTAACTCGTCAATTATGAACTGTAGTGCCACCAAAATCACTGTGCACATCACCCACACCCTCCTTGTGATACTAAAACTGTCATTATATCTATTAAACGCTTTTTCATATTTTTGGGGCCAGCTGAACTCTTCAAACCTCATGTAGAAAGGCTGGTCCTATCACAGGTTATTTACATTACAAGACGGACAGTGGCAAGGTAGAGTGAATACACAAACATGAAGAGGGGAGGGGGGACTTGCAGGAAAACTGAAATTCTCTGGGACTTCTAGTGTTAACCTATATCCTTTTTAGCTAAGATCTAAGTCAATAAACAAATGAATCTTCTGATGATATTCCAATTTTCTGAGCCGTACCTGTACGTGTTTGGAATAGCAGGAGTGTGGAGGAAGCCCTGCCCACCTCGGATGTGATGGCAGCCAATGAGAAGGCACCCTGGAGCGACGTCACCAGCTCATTGTGGTCACAGTAGTGGGACGGCCCAGCCGTGCTGAGCTGCTCGGCTTGTCTTCTCCACCGCTCTCCCACTAGTGAGTCTATGAGCTCCACTTCAGCACTTTACATGACTGGAAAAAATAAGGTAGACACGAATTTAGCCGCTTTTGACGTAGTAGACAGATTTGTGCTGACGGTTTGACGTAGTTTTTTTTTTTCGAGGAAGGAGACGGAACTGATATGCTGCATTTTTCTCTAGGAAACGTTAGAAATATTTGATGTGAGCGCTTAGCTAACAAGCTAACTGGAACTGTTTTCAGAAACAAGCTAGTTAGTTAGCTTGCTAACAAGCTAGCGAACCTTTTTTTTTGTGGTGATGTAACTGGCTATAGAGGCAGTAAAGGACCAAACCGGACCAGAATCTCATGTGGGACATGAATGGTTCAGAGCTCCGCCAAGAGCTTGGATTGCAGCCTTAGCGGAGCCTTTAGACTGGATTTGAGAGACAATAGTCAGCTGGCTAGGCAACAAGTCTAGCTCACTCTGCTCCTCCAACTCAAGTATGTACTCTTATGGCTTGTTGTTTGTTGATATCCGGATTTGGTAGGAACAATTGAGGCAAAAACTACCCCTCTGGATCTAAAAAGGTGGTGTTACGCCAAGAAAGTGTAGTGCGACTTGTGATGCCGAGATCTGAGTCCGCCCGGTAGTTTGGGAAAGCTGTTGTTAGTTTCTCAGCATCATTTCAACTGACGAGGAGGCGAGGTGGATGGACATTAAAAATCGCCCACATGCGTTGGATCAGCTCCCGGACTTGTGAAAGGCATCTGAAGCAGAAGGAGGGAGACTTGCAGCCCGGGGGAAGATGGCGGAGCGCTCCCACAGGAGGTGGTGAGACCCAAACTTCACAACTTGTCGGATTCATAGACGCGCACCTTACTTCTGACCGCTGGACACATGCAGGCCAAAAAACGATACTTAATTCTGTTCTCCACCGGCGCCTGTCTCGTTCTGCTGTTTTGTTTCGGGGGGATCCAGGTCCCGCTGTCCAGACGGGGTCCCAGCCGGCGCGATGACCGCAGCCTGGCCGGCTTTCACCCCGGGGCGCGGTGGCGTCGCTTTCAGGGATACTTGCAATCTTTCAGCACCTTGGAAAAGGATCGGAACGAGGATCCCAATGAACATATGTCTCCTAGACAAAAGAGGGACGCCAACTCATTCCTGTACACTGGAAAACGATGCAGAATGGAGTCCTGTTTTGACTTCTCTCTGTGTGAGAGGAATGGCTTCAAGGTTTATGTTTATCCGCAGCAGAAAGGAGAAAAGATCTCTCAGAGCTATCAGAACATTTTGACCTCCATAGAGGGCTCCAGGTTTTACACACCAGACCCAGGACAGGCCTGTCTCTTTGTCCTGAGTTTGGACACACTTGATCGGGACCAGCTTTCACCTCAATATGTGCACAACCTAAAGGCTAAAATCCAAAGCCTTCCTCTGTGGAATGAAGGCAGAAACCACATTATCTTCAATTTATATTCCGGGACATGGCCAGATTACACAGAAGATCTCGGCTTTGACATCGGCTTTGCCATGTTGGCCAAGGCCAGCATAAGTACAGAAAACTTTAGGCCTAAATTTGATGTTTCTATCCCTCTATTTTCAAAAGACCATCCCAGGACAGGGGGAGAAAGGGGCTATTTGAGACATAATACAATCCCACCTTATAGGAAGTATGTGCTTGTTTTTAAGGGGAAGAGATACCTGACTGGAATAGGGTCAGACACAAGAAATGCTTTATACCATGTACATAACTCACAGGATGTGGTCCTCCTCACCACCTGTAAGCATGGCAAGGACTGGCAGAGGCACAAGGATGCCCGCTGTGATAAGGACAATGCTGAGTATGACAAGTAAGTACTTCCCTTCTTTCCTCTTATAATTTTCAGCTTATTTTGCAACATAAACAAACCACTGACTGCAGCGATGTTCTTTAAAATAGCGAATATCCTCAGTACATTCAATATAAATAATATTGATCATCTAAAACATTTGGTGTTTGTTTATTATGGTCATAATCTTTATTTTTGAGGGACTTAATATAATTTTTGTAAGATTTAGTTATTAAGGAAAATATACTCTGATCTTGAATGTTATGAAGATAGGGCCGTCATATCACAGGGTTGTGTTGTTATTCAATCCCCAGTGTTTGCTCTGCTGCTTTGCTCACTTATAGACCTTTTAATGAAAGCTTGTGAGGCACAGATGAGAAAATAACTTAAATGTCAAGCCTCAAGAACCACACTGTTAAAGTGAGCTGGCCATGGGTAAGTCTGCGGCAGAATTTTTGTTTTTTTTACCCAACATCCTTATTCTAAATAAAATATACTGGACAAATATTTTAGCATAGTTTTTCCAGATTTAACCTGTTACCTGGTTCCCAAGTATTGAATACCGGTAGTCTCCCTACAAATACAATGCTATGTTTTGTTATCAGTCTCCCACTAACACAATACTCCATACTTTCAAGTGCTGAAAATCCTGCTCTGACACCATTCTCCAGACTGGGCCATGGTGTTTTCTCTGCTCAAATCTGATGAACAAACTGGCCTCAGTGATCCAGCTTTGGACGGTGGGATTCATTTTGTTTTCCCCAGGACTTTTCCATGTTTTCACTAGTGGCTCTGTGGTGCTGGTTGTTTGATTGGGAATCTTTGGACCGGATTAGTTAGTGACAAAGCACTGGTGCCAGTAAGGGGAAGCCATTCTGGCTTCTGTTTGCTCAATAATTTCCCAGACAAACCCAATTGCATTAGCAAGGAATGCATTGGCCCTGAATAGTGTCCTGTGTGACCCCAACATGTCAGGGAAAACTGGGGGCAAAAATAGAGTGACTTATCAGTTGTTTAGTCTTTAGGCGGGTTCTAATATTGTTCCATTTCATTGTCATATTTTTACATTTTAATTTCGCCCTGCTCGAACACCTGACATGCTATATTAATCTTTGTTATGTAAATTGGTTGCATGGTGATACAGTTCCCATCACTACAAAAATCTTGGATTTTGTTTTATGATTTTCCAAATCTGGAGAAGTGTAAGGAAATGGAAATGGAGCAAAGGAAAAAGCAGGAATCATCTGATATTGTTTAAAAAATAAAAACAAATTATTTTGAATATTTAGTTCCAGTTACTACAAAACAAATAGATTTTTTGATCTCTTTTTTTTTTATCTCTTCATCTTAGTTATTATAGATTTTGAGATGCATTTTTATTTATATTTGGCTTTTAAATCATTACGTTTCTGTGTTCAAAATCAGATACAATAGATTTATACATGATTTAGAACCTAAACTGCATTTTTTTATTTATTTCTGATCACACATCAAAATATCAGAGATCTGAATTCAGTCCTGGGCTATTTATTTAAATTACGTTTTGTTCCTGTGAATAAAAGAAAATATCCTTAACCATCCCGTTGAGTTGGAAGCCAGAAAAAGATGTTTAGTTTGGACTCTCATGTCCATGATTTCAGAATTCAAATATTGGAAAATCTGTGCTGTGACATCCAGTCCAAATACTGCTTTCATTACAGTTTATTTTTTATTGACAGAAGAAATGGAAATATGAAGGTTTTTACTTGCTTGCTTGGCAAAAAAGCATTCTCCATATCACAATTACAAAATGAAATATTTATCCTGTCTACCACCGTTTGATGACTAACAGCTGGCTGCCAAGTCTGACAAGATAGGGATTTTATATAGACAGCTCGATATCTCTAGCTCAAATGACAAACAATCTCTCATTTCATTAAATGCCAGCTATACTTTATTTATCACTTTTTTGACAGACAAGCTGATTTACATGGTTTAACCAGCGTGAGAGCTTTTCCAACTGGCAGTCTTGCTAAATATTGTCAGACATCATGTTTTACTTTGAGGCCCTGTTGGATGTTCCTTTTTAAAATCATTTAGGTATGTTTGTGACGTACCTTTTTCTTCCAGAGCCACAACATAATAAACAGACAACCGTTTCTGATAGCATCAGGGAATCACTTGGAAATCTTGTGTCCAAGCTCTATATCTGGGATCTTACGTGTTCTGAATGGCTGCACTTTGCAAATATGACTATTGGACATGGCCAGGCTTTGTGTTTCTGTTTGCTTTTATTTTCTATGGAAAGTTGATCCTAATGTGGAAATGAATTGTCCTGTTCTAGGGGAACGCCTGCCTCAGACTGTCCACAGCATATCTCCTTTCGTATCATTAGTTATTTAATGACAACAAATGACCCTTTTTCCCATTAGGTTATATCAAATTTGTAATCAGTCACAATAATGATCTTTCACTTTTGTTACAGTGTCTTTCCACAAAGTCAGATCAGTGTTTATCTTGGCAAGAGGCTCATTCTAAACAGACCACTGGGACCTCGCTGCCATGGATTAGATTTTGAATTCTTCTGTATACTGAACTACTGTAGTAGAAAGAAACAAAGAAACGATAGCATTTGGATTTCACCAAATTTATGTAGGTTTGGATTTCTTATCTGGAGACATCAATTATTTGAACCAGTTTCTATAAAGAAAAAAAAATCTGGCTATGACTACAGCAACATGTTTTCTGTGATGCCTTTTGGTTGTAATAGAGTTGCAGAAGCCTGTTAGAAAGCCCTTTGGGCCCGACAGTGCAGTCTGGTATCTAACTGGGTGGAAGTAATTGTTCTGTGCCTAGCTGTGGTCTTTTGTGTTACAAATCCCTCTTATCCGTTCACACTGAAAACAAGGAAGTTGTTACAGAGTCAGTGTAACCCCTTCTAATGAATACAATGCTGAGTTCATGTCACGTCTGATGGGGACATGGTGCTCCATTGATTGACTGTTAGCTGTATGCTTTTCTTTTACCTCATATAATCACATAAACTCCACACTGATCTCAACTATTATTTATTACATGGGAGTTCAAAGCAGTTAAAATAAATGGTTATATCTCCTCAATGTGATTTATGTAAACTTGGTCAGACCCTGGTTAGCCTGTTTATGTCTACCTGCATTGCTCGCTTTCAGCCAAAGGCTTAGCCAACAGGTTCCTTTGTTCATCATCTGTAGATATTTGTACTTAGCCTCTTTCTTTCTACAGTGCTATAAAGCTGCTGAAGGTTAGAAGGAGACATACAACAAGGAAATCCAGCAGGAGGCAAATCGGATGGAATGAAAGCCCTCTCACAGCTTGTTTCCAATTAGGGCGAACTACCAAGTACAAAAGTATGAATTGAGTATATTGGGGGGTCTTAATGGTTAAGTCTTAGTAGACTGGGGAAACAAACTTAAATGGAAATTAAGGGAAAATAGAAACACAAGTAGAGAAAAAAATATTATAGAAGTGATAAGATAGACAAGATGAAAATGAAAGGCAGAGAAGAGAAAAACACATGCTATCAATCCAGCCGTAAGAGGTGAGTGCAATAGCTGGCTGGCTGCTGACGTTAGTCTGCTAGGTGTATTTATAGCCTTGGAGGATTTTAATCCGCAGTATTGGCCAAAGCCCCTGGCAGAGGGCTTCGAGCCAACCTGATGTGGGCTTTACAGGCTTGGGGAAAATGATAATCCTTGGGGGAGGATAGTTGATCTAAGTTCCTGCACTAGAACTATGTATCCCCATTCCCCTTAATCTGATCCATACTTCCAACACATTAGATCAGCCTTTTTTAGATCTTGGTGTACAACAAGTTATTTTGTTAGGTGTCCTACCGAAAACGCTGATCTCTATGAAAATCAGAAAGTATAGATTCTTCAAATAAATGTGTGTGGCCAATTCAATTATTTGGTCCTGAGTGTCTTCAGCCAGTCAAATCATTTTCTAAATGTCTGTTTTGCTAGTGTTTCCCCTGCAGCCTTTTGTCTGTTTTTGCTGTTTCCCCCTGGGATCATTAAAGTATTTCAGATTCTGATTAGTGGTTAAGCTACTTACTGATTTAATAGTAAAGGTCCCTTAAAATGGTGACTTGTGTAACATTTGTTGTCATTGTCATTCTTACAAAGTAGATGGAGGAAATAACATCCAAGAATGGTCCCAGAATAATCTGCAGCTTATAACAGAGACCAGTAGGACAGATGTCAATATAATAATACTTGTCTTTACAATAAGAAACAATATATGTCGTTCTCTTCCAACTAACAAGCACAAATAGGCTCTACTTCTTACCTGGATATTTTACATTGAATGGCTCTCCTGTTAAAATCTTGTCATTTGTTTTTTACATCAACAAAACTTTACAAATCTAGTTATTACTAAGCGCAGCGTTAGCCAAGGGTATTTATTCATTTAATATACAACCGGTTTTAGACTTATCATATCTTCTGTGTGCATCACTGTGTTGTGGTACTGGATCTATTTCTCTGGAAATGTTTCCAAAGATTCTCTATCGAGAAGATGAGCTGTTTAATAAAAAAAATATATATATATTTATACAGTTCACTTTATGTGACATTTAATATCAGATGAAGTAAATCTATGCAAAACAGTCATGTAATAAACTCACACATCATCAAAAAAAGTTAATGTGACTTCAAATAGAACATTATTTAGTACTACCATGCTAACAGCTCCACTGCAAGAACTACAGCTTAAAGTTAAGCTCTTTGTATATTTTTCACACACTATTCACAAAACAGACAATATTAACAACCTTGATGATTGTCTATGCAATCCTAGACAGATATTGTTAGAGGGAATTTTCATCTTCAGTCATCAATGGTGCACAGATTGCTGCTGTAGTTGCTTAGAAATGATTACTCTTATGCATCGTTATGCTATGCTAATTAGCCATGTGCAACATTAAGCGCAGCAGGCTGAAGGGATTTAAAGCACCATTATGTGAATTAAAGTGTCTTAATTTTCCCCAGTTTTGTGTGCTTTAA